AAGTTCAATTCTTTCCTGATTTCCAGGTCAATAGTTTTAAGAATTAAACTTGGAATAAAATTAACTAATGTACTTCTTCCCCGATGATTTCCACTCTTTTTAAACTTATCTTTTTTTATCTTTGTACATTTACTTTAATTAATTTATATATCTAGGGACTTCGTATAAGAATAAGTAGTCTTAGAAATGGCCGATTCTTTCTTTTCTTCCCGGTCAATTGTTTTATGGAAAAATCAACTTCAATTAAAATTGGCCCACGGATTTCCATCGGTGATTACTTGCATGTTTTTACTGCCTATCGATTTATTAATTTATCTATCAATATTTCTACTATAAAAATAATTCAATGATGCCTCCAAAAATTGGTCGATACTTTTCTGATCTTTCAGATCAATAGTTTTAGGAGGGTTCAACATCGAATAAAATTGAATCACGTACTTTTCCAACGATGATTTCATGATTTTGTAACTGACTATTGATAATAATAATTAACTTATCTACCTATTAACCTACTATATAGATGATTCAATGACTTCTCCCAGAAACAGTTTATTTTTTCTGATCTTCCAAGTCAATAATTTTAAGGAGGGCTCAACTTTGGCAATTGACCCAAGTACTGATTTATTTATTCATGATTATGTTAAATATATGCACGTATTATTTTCGTTTAATGTTATCGGTTGCGATGTATCATCATGTAATCGCGTAAAATCTGTCAAGTCTTTTCTGAGCTTTCAAGTAACTTGTACCTCGTTCCTTGTCTTTCCGTCGTTTCCTCTTTTGGCAAACAGTGTCGGTAGGCAGTAATCGAACTTTGAAATAGGTTCACTAGTCCTTCGCATTATCATTCCACCAGTTCGAAGAAGATAATTATCTAACTTTCGATGTTTAAATAGCTTTTTGTATGCCATTCTCTCTTTCTCCCCATAGGTTGAATCGTTTATTCTAAAATAAATTGGGTTAAACGCTTCCATTTCGCCGACCATGGATTTTTTTCTTGTTCACCACTACTTTACAAAGAACTGAGTCACCTTTTTTTCTTATTTTTACAACCTCAAAATACGGTTTATGTAGTATAAAAAAATTAAATGGAGGTCAATAATTTTCCCTGTAACCACTATTTCGGTACTTAGCTTTTCTACGAGAATTCGCTCAAATTGAGAATTCACTTTCCTATCTATTACACCTGGAATTATGAATATTCATCAACCGTTTACCTATTCATGAATGGCCTATTTGGTTGGACGTTAATTAAATAATGGAATTAAGTTTGTTTGTCGTATGTACAATGGGGATTATTTCCAATTATCCTATTTGCAATTATTTATCTCTTTGTTCAAAGCGTGTTTTGTATAATTGCTATAATTTATTGCACAATAGAACGTTTAAAATTGATTTGGTGGCGTCGGTGAACGCAAGGGTTTAGGAGTAGACGGCGCTCATCAATGTACGGTTAAGGTCCTTGGTTCGAATCCAGCGGCCCTGCATTCCAACCCGACATACTTACAAATGGGATTTTTCTTCAAAAACACCGGTACCCCGAGAGTTAATATAAGCCTCAAAATCGAACTCGAAGTTGAAAACAGCCCGAGATTTTATCCTCTAAGACGATGGAGTACTCAATATTCCACCATCACAAGCTTATTGCTAATCTAAAGCGAGAGTCGATGGTCTACTGGATATTCCGCCACGGATCCCCTAACACTACTCAATCACGCTAATAAATACATTCAGTACGAGGAAATACAAGCCGAAATATCGCTATACAAAGTACTATATAAAATGGCCTGGTAAAAAGCCTCAAGCTTAACGAAGAGTTCTGGATAAAAAAATGGAAATGACAATAGATCAATACTGGTCGCGGTGCATAGGTCGTAAAGCGGCTGGCTCCTATATAATCTAATCTATCTATAAAAAATAAAAAAACACTCACCATTCATACCGATAGGACAATGGAGTACTAATATTCCGCTAATCTAAAGAGAGGGTCGATGAACATCACACCATCACACTTGCAAATACGTTTACTCTCAATAGGAATGGAAAACGATATTTTTAGTAAGTACTATATACAATAAAACAGCCCTACTTCCTCCAAAAATCAGTACATGGCGTTCAGAAACACTCCGCCGTGCCTAAGCACAATTATTACACCAGGTGGCATTTGTACTCGCTCTCTATAAGGAGCCAAGGAATGACACGAAAATAAGAGGGACACATCAAGCCTTTTTTATAAACGCCGAACTTATAGGCGAGGGCTTTGGCCAAAAAGTACATGTCTGCATGTCTACCTATTATGACTTCTATACTTCAGATCCTCAGAGGGTCAGAGTGTTTCATTACCAATCCGCTCACCGACGCTTCCCATCTATCAATATATCAATTCTTATGCCCTTCTATCTAACGATCCACGTATGTACAGGGTGTCCTTTTTAGATAGCCAGGCTGAATTTATCTTGAAGCAGTAAAACTATCAAAAAAACAGAGTTTTGCTTTATTGATAGAACTATTCATTCAAGAGAAATTCAGCCGGGCTATCTAAAAATGACACCCTGTATATATCCATATAACCATCTGATTACCCATATATCCATTAATATATCCACATATCAATCTTTGCACATGTATACTGTATATGCATCTTTCTTCAAGATATAAATAGCTATTCATATTTATTAATCCATATATCTATCCAGTTATATAGCCATATAACCACTAGTATGTCGATACGATTTTATTGCATGGGAAACCGTCAAGGCTGCAATATATTTTAGGTTGGGTGAAATAAGACTTTAATCAATCCTTCTCTATCGGATTATAATATTAAAAAAAAGGCTTTGGGTAGAATGTTGTCCCTTCTTCTTCAAAAGAGTCAGGTTTAATAACACGATAACTCAGGAATAGTGTCAAAGCTAATACAGAAAATATGACTTCAATATCCTGGCCGGCTTATAAAAGGCGCCTTTGCGTCTTTAAGTATTGAAAAAAATTCAGAGCTTTACGGTGGGTAAAGCGTGTTTGCTCCCACGTCAAAGTCATACTCGGGGGAAATGTGAGGTCGAGTCGCACGCAAAATAGAACGGAACGTTAAGCAGGTTAAACTATAACTTTCTTGAATAGTTACCAAGCCGGATTAATTGATAAAAATTCGTATGGTTTGGGCGTGTAATATTTTACCAAGAAGATAGTTAATATTTACGACCTAATTTATATAAAAAACTGATCATAAACAAAGGAATGCATTTGAATTGTTAAAATACTTTAACAGATTACTATTAAATTTTAAATTTTGACATCTATGTTCAAATTATAATTCTTTTCAATTAATTAAGGTTTTTGGTTGAGATAAAAAAGTCAATGTCACAAGCGGGATTCGAACCCACGACCTTCCGCTAAATATGCCGCTGCTCTACCACTTGAGCTATGGTGACTTCTATCCACTGGGACACTAACTTCCCATCTCAACCCACCTTTTGAATTGAATAAATAATAATGAATTCAATAAATAATTTTGAAAGCTCGTGACCCTGACTTTTTTATCCTTTTGAATTTTCCCTCCTTTTTGCCTGTGTCATAAGCGGGATTCGAATTAATAAATTTCGAATCCCGCTTGTGACATTAACTTTTTTATCTCAACCAAAAACCTTAATTAATTGAAAATAATTTATTTGGTCGAGCGGACCACCTAATAGAATTTAATAAGAAAAACGAAGTATACTTCACTACAAGCTCTCCGTGGCTATTTGTCGCCGAGAATCAGATAGATTACCCCACATTTGAAAAATGGCAAAAAAAGAGGGAAAATTCAAAAGGTGGGGTTGAGATAGGAGGTTAGTGTCCGAGTGGATCGAAGTCACGATAGCTCAAGTGGTAGAGCAGCGGCGTACCAAGCCGAAGATCGTGGGTTCGAATCCCGCTCGTGACACTGACTTTTTTATCTCAACCAAAAACCTTAATTAATTGAAAAGAATTTATTTGGTCAAGCGGACCACGAAACCTAATAAAATCAAATTATAATATTCAGACATTTTGTCGTGTATTGCATACGGGGCGTGACTTTCAAAGCCTCGGAAATTAGAGGAGTGAGTGATTAATAATTGGCAGAGATTAACATAGTTTTCAATAAAAAATCTCGTTGTCACTCGTTGATAGATTTTTTTGGCGTAGCCTTGAGAAAGGAAAAATATTTTCCGCAACGTCGGCTTAATGAAATAAAGTTTTCTTTCTAACCTAAGTGAACGCTATACCCATATCACTATAATTATCAACGGTCATCACCTAGCATAGATTAACCTATTTTATTACTATTTCTTTATACTATTTTATTGAAAACATGTAATCCACGTTAGATGTGGATTACACCTAACTTCATTAAGACAAAATATTCCGTTATCTTAATAATTAAATCATTCACTCATTCATTCTCACTCAGTATATCTCCCTCTCCCCCTCTCAGTCTCTTTCTCTTTCTTCGTTCTTCTGATTTTTCTTCTTCTCTCTCTATCGTTCTCTCTGTCTATGTACCTATCAATCGATTTATTTATGAATCTTTCTTTCTATCTGCATACAGATGTATCAATTTGGTTATCTGTCTGAAATATCAATTTATGTATCAATCTATCTATGGATTTTTTTGTTTAACAATCTATCTTTCTATCTTAGCTCTGTTTCTCTTGGTTATTTTACGCACCTTAATTTATGTAGGTTCTCGAGTTGAGGTAAGTTTTCTAATTGATTTTTAACTCTCGCAGAACGAGTTGCAATAAGAACAATGACAGCAATGTTGCAATAACAGTTTTTTAAGTTGTATCTTCTAATCTCTGTGACTTTTAGTACGGTATCTTTGTCATTATTGATTTTAGGGTTTAAAATACAATATTTTATGGCATGTCGAGTGGTTTTTTTTTTAATCCCGTCGAGATAATACATTTGACGTTTTGATATTTTCGAGTGCAACGTTTAAGAGGTAAATTAGAGTATATAAAACTGAAGTCGCCATGTCTGAAATTCAATATTTGCCTTAGATCCACGATGAGAACGTTGGTTTTTGTGTTATTCACGTTCGCGTTTGCGTGCTGTGAGCCGCACTACAGCATCGACGAGCATGTGGACCGACTTCTGCCGATCGTCAACAACTTCATCGGCGTGATGGGATGGCAGAACGTGACGCTGCCGGACTACGGTTTACCCTCGACGCCCGTTTTCATCGGTGTGAGCATGGCCGATATGGCGACTATCGAGAGGACAGGGCCGTGCGAGATGTGGGCCGAAGGGATCCACTCGCTCAATCTGAAATTCACCATCGGACTCGGAACGATGAAGGCGGACATCGAGTACGTCCCCGTCATGGGCGGACCGGTCACTCTCCTGATGGAAGGTGCGAGCGCGATCGTCGGCGTCAAATTTGTGAAAGAGAACCCGAAGAAAATCGACTGTGATACGAAATGGGATTACATCAACATCCAGACACTCGGAAATGTGACCGTACACACATCGAACAAGCTGTACGACGGTAAAATCTTACCTGATACTTGGACGAATGCGTTAATCTCGTATTACAACCGCATATTGAATCTCAAAGGAGAATTTTCAATTAGCAACCTCGACAGCCTCTTCAATATTTGCAATATTCCTGACAATTCAACTCCTATGAACTAGCACGGTTTTATTGAAGTGTCTGTACAAATAAAATCTCAATAATTTAGATACTTGTTGCTATTTTATAATAAATTTGTTTTATCACTATAATTCGTTGTATTCGTTCACGACATAATATAATACCCAATAAATAAATGTTTTTAGTAACTTTAACATATGTTGCAGTATACGGGGGTGATGAACCTCCAATTTGGTCGTTACCGATCATTTTGGTCTACTTATCTCGCTAGGTTGGTCTGTCAGACGCGTTTCGCCATCTTCAGTGTGTCTGCAACGCGTCTGACCCGCAAACCTACGGCTTTCTGACAATCATTAACATACCACAATATGTAGTTTTCCTGGGATCAACCAGTGCTTATTATTATTAAGGTTAAATTAATTATTCAATTGTGAGTAACTCATATTTTACGTGGTTTCTAAACGTTTTTCACTTTAGCACTGAACCAAAAAGAATTCTATTTGAATATTTGTAAAACATGTTATGACGTTCTTGTGATTTAAAATAAAAAGATATAGTAGGAAAGAGAAAGAAAGATTTGAGGGTGTACATGAGAGGTACTAAAAAATATATAAATACACAGATAGAAGGGTTTGGGAGAGGGGGAGAGAGAGAGAGACATAAAAAGAGAAAAGAACAATTAATTAATTAATGATTGAGTATGATTTTACTTATAGCCGCAGAATTTGGTCTGATACGACCACTTTTCAACCAACGATAACAGATAGGAGAGAGAGACATATGAATATGTGTGTTTGATATAGGATTGATCTTTAATGACAAAAGTGTAAATAATGTAGCATTCTGCCATTCTAAAAGCTTTTCTACGTCTCTTTCAATGTTGATTTTAAAATTGTATGGTTTGAAATTAACTGTTCCTGCCAACAGGACGTCTGAGATGAAAACAATTTTAACAATTTTGGACACATCACCAACCAAACATAGGAGAACTTACGACGCGTTAGATGGACAGGTAGAAATATTGTTGGAAAAATTTGGTTGTTGTTTTTACAAGAACTTTTCACTAAATTCTTTAGGCCATATCCACTTTTATATTTTATTTATAAACTTTTATATAATTTTTCAAAATGATTATTAATATTGTTTTATTATTGATATCTGACCTTTAGAAGGTAATAAAAATAATAAACTTCTAAATATTTTTCGACCTAGTAACAAAAAAAAATAGAAATTATGAAGGTGGAGTGAAAAAAATTTGTCCCAAAAACAAAACTACGTACAATTAAGGTACTATCTCTCGGTTCATTGATTGAAGAATTTTGAATTGAGATTTGAATTATAAATACAAACATAAAATGTGTTCTAAAGTAATTAAACAAAACTTTATAAATCTAAACGTCAAAAAATTAAATATCCCACGTATAATTAAGTCGATTGATAAAAAGAGAAATAGTAACAACGTTAACTTAAAAGCCGATAAAAAAAAAACTTAGAATATGTATCATTGAACACCAAAAATACGTTTTTAAAGTTGAATAGTTCCTAAAAAATAATAATTTTAAAGAAATAAAAAAGGCACACCTTAAAATTAAAAGCTCGAGTTCAAACGGCTATAACAAAATACTTATTCTTAAATGAGCAATATGCGGTTTAAAATACTCATACCAATGAACGCGGAACCATCAAGTTTATTTGCTACGGTCAAAATCCTTCAAAGAAAACAAAATTATAGCACCACTAGTGACTTTTATAATTCACCATCCCACAAACTCGCGATAACAATAACTGAAATAATTAAAAACAACACTAATTTCAAACCTACACATGTATTAACATATATCCAGAACTGATAAAACAGTTAAAAAACATAAATATACCTAACAATTGTGTTTTAGTGTCATTTGAAGTTGCTAATTTATTCACCAATTTCCCTGATAAACATGTACTAAACTAATAAAACAAACACTTACGTACTTACCTCTTTAATAAATGCCTACGATTTAATTATTGTAAATTTAATTATAAATTTTATGAAGTAAAGGGTTACGATTGGGATCACCATCATTCCTACTTTGTGCCGAAATGTTCATGGATAACTTGACAAAAATTTCTTTCCAATTAATTAAATCTGTCCCTGTGTGAACCGTTATGTAGACGATATTTTATGTGTATGGTCCAGACCACTATAGGAGCTAAAAGAATTCCTCCCATTAATTAATTCTTTACACCCTAATATAAATTTTATTTTAGAACTAAATGAAGATGGTTATTAAAACTTTTTAGACTTAAAATTGACGATAATAAATAACCAAATTGAAATAGCCGATTATAAAATCCCACACTTACAGACAACATGGGATTTATTCCTTTAACCCATGAACTTCTCGATCTATTTGCCTCATATACAATTAAAACTCCCTCTAACACCTGCTAACTATAAAAAAAGAATTACAAACTATTGAAACCTTAGTTTAAAAAATTGTTTTTTAAGAAATATTTATTGATAAATTGCTAGTAAAAACAATAAAAATTAACTTTAAAAGAGGCAACAATTGGATTTAGCCGCCCCACCAAAAAGACTTGCCATACATTGGTGAACTATCGGAAAAAATTGGTAAAATTTTTAAAAGAGAAGTTTTAGTGTACATTTTAAAAGTACATTTTCACTTAGAAACATCATTTAAAACTATAAAAACAAGGTTGACAACTTGTCAAATGAGGGGTTTACAAACATAATTGTAATTGCGATATTAAATATAGATATAGCATTATTTCCTAAAGGGGAAGAGAAATTAAAAAGAGAGATAAAGAACCCTTGCTTAAATCGAACCAATTTTCTGAATTTAAGGACCATCTAAATGAAACAAAACACAATCTCACTTTAAATTTAAATCAAACAGTGTTACACAGTTTCAACAAATGGAGATATAGATTGCGTTGAGAAATTTGAAATTAAAAAAATGGAAAATTAAACATGGAGATAACTGCATGAACAATATATTTTGATTTACCTCCTATTTTCAACAAGTAGCTAAATAATACTTAACATACAAATTAATCGCTAATTTAAAATTATTTTCTTACAGTATTTATTAGGATATTTTTTTTAGTATAATATATATGTTTACGTTGGAAATAACAAATTCTGTCGGTAGCACTAATATTTACAAAAAATTTAAAAAAAGTACACCGAATTTTAAAAAAAATTAAAATCTTTGTTCCCGTAGAATTTCCTTATAACTGTTGTTGACTTTTATTGTAGAAATGTTTTAGGTTTTAAGATTTTGTTAGCTTTGTTATTTATAATTGATACTATTATTACCTGGAGGTAGAAATTACGACTTTTATAAGGCTGTCAAATTTTCTTAAACGTTTTGCCGAACTCATTGCACCACTTTTAATGTTCTCCAATGGTTTTCTCACGATATCTACTGGTTATTAATTTCATTTTTTTATCTGTATCAATTCATAATGTAATTATAGGTACTTCTTGATCCCGATTGTCTCCAATGGAAAATTACAGCAATGTCGGTAAAGGGTAACAAAATTAAAAATTAATTAAACACGGATAAGATTTAAGAGGTAGCTAGACGATAATATAAAAATCATAATGAAGTATTTTTATCTTTTAATAAATCTAGGCCAGTGATAAATGATGAAACAACTAATTTTTTTAGAATTTAAGATAACGACATTAACACATCTCAAATCGTTTTTTAGATATACTTAAAATAGAAATCGATTACTTGAATTTGACTTTGAAATATTTCAGTTACTTATATAATATTTTTGTCCCTCTTCAAAGATTTAAGGTTTTAAGAGGCGCATAATTTTAGCCTACATAGCAGAGTATGTTTCTTAAGCAGGTGTTGATAGAGGTTGGAAACAAACTTGTTAATTAAATTATGTTTTGGGTAGAAGTTTATTAAGTTAGTTATATAGAGGCGCTAACTTTCTACTTGGCACAATAGGACAACTTTAAAGGCACACCGCATCATCTCTTGTTAATGAATTTCTACGGATGGCACCCTTGCGAATAACATTTTAGGAGATCTCGACTCACAGAGAACGGTCATAGATTTTTATTTGTTTGATATGTCTTGTGTTTGCCTGTTTGAAATATTAACAATATAGTCGTTAAGGCGAAAATTTCTCAGATGAATATTTTATTTTACACGTGTGCCCGGAGAAGAAATCGTGACATAATTTTGAGTAAGACAGAACAAAATATTTTATCTTAAACCGTTAAAGATAATTATGAGAAATGAGATAAACGTTGTGACTTTCTACACTTGAAATTAAATTTGAGATTAACCATAAAATCTAAATACGTAATTTGAAAACACATTCAGTTGTATTGTAAAAATCCTCTAATATTTGAGTGCCATGTAAAAAAAATCGGATTTAAGGGTTACATAGGTAATAATATACAAAAATATACCAAGTTACACAATACAACTTCTTTACTAGTACAGTAAATTTACTTCAACTGGTTTGAAATATTTAAAATTTTGAATAGTACAAAGTACGGCCTTATATTATGGCCAAACGAAACAATATTTATCTGAACGTGTGCGGCAACATAAGTATGAGTGTAGTGATGAAAAATGGGAACAGCACTATCAGAGCATAAGCATACTACGAACCATAAAATCGACTTCGACGGAGTCAGAATTATGGCTTCATAACAAAATACAGATCGTAGACTTTTGAGAGAAATGATATGTCTTCATCAGGATAACATGGCATGTAATTTAAAAATTTGAGTGTGCTACACTAGAAAAAGACAACGCCCCCTCCGAGGATCGTAGCAATACATGCATACATATTTCTTAACAGGCTGGGATAACATAGAATTACTATACCAGAAATCAAGATTATGATTTTTTTTAATTTGAAAAATTGTATAAAACGATTGTTATCAGTAGGTGACAATGTTAGAGAACCTCTCACCTGATAGCGTGATAAGCTCATTTTCTAGTCAAACGCCTGTGATGTATGTAGATAAAGAATTTGTTAATTTTAAAGTAATTGTTATTGTTTATATAGTAAACAAGCTAGTGAAGAAGAGGTTTTTATTTATTTATTTATATATATGACGAATTTGTATAATGTGTTTAAGTTGTGACTT